CCTAGAATCCAACAGGAAATTCTTTGGTGTACAGGTTGAGACTCCAACCAACTGAGCCACCTGGCCAGGGCAGATCTGAAATTTTTTTTAAAAATGTACCTCCAGGCCCTAGTTGGTGTGGACCAGTAGTTGGAGTGTCCTCTCACACACCAAAGGGTCATGGGTTCAATTCCAAGTGAGGGCACATACACAGGTTGTGCCTGGCCAGTGTGGCATGGGGTTTGAACATCGACCTATGTATGAACCAAGAAATGATGGTGAGATTCCCATCAAAGGCACATACCTGGGTTGCAGACTCAATCCGGAGCCCTGGTCAGAAATTCAGCGAGAGGCAACCAATTGATGTCTCTCACATTAATTTCCATCTTCTGTCCTCCCTTCCACTCTCTGTAAAAGAAAAATAATAATAATCAATGGAAAAATGTCCTCAGGTGAGGATTAACCAAAACAAACAAATAAACATCCATCCCCAGTGTGATTATTGGAGTATATGAAGTATTTGTTGAATGAACAGGAAGGGATGGGACTTCGCTTTGTAACTGTTTTAGCAACTCTGCAAGCCAGAGGGTTTATTTAGGTTTATTTTTTATTTTAATTTTTATCGATTATTTTAGAGAGAGGAAGGGAGCGAGAGAAACACCAGTATGTTGTTCCACTTGTTATGCTCTCTTTGGTTGCTTCTTGTCTGGACCCTGACCAGGGATCCAGCCCACAACCTTGCTGTATCAGGAGGAGTTCCTAACCCACTGCACTGCACACTGCCTGTCAGGGCCCCTCAACAAAACCCTTCTGGCGTGCCCTGGCCCCTGCTGTGTTTGGGTTCCATTCTGTGAGGGAACCTACTTAGGTTTAGGGTTTGATCCCCGGTCGGGGCTGACTGCTGCTCAGGAAGTGACTGAGGACCGTTGAGGTCCGTGTGCTGTACATCATTGGGCACAGAGCTGGGGTTCCATTGCTGACAGGGCCGACTCCGATCCCCGCTACCGCCACTCCTCCATCCAGGACGACTTCAACTATGACAGCTGCGTGGCCTCCACCAGCATGCACGTCCGCATGGATAGGTCACCCTTTCCGCGCTTCACTCAGCCCGGCTGCTGCACAGTTGCCCTGGGAGGCAGATTTACGGGGTCCCAGGGAGAGCACCCTCCATGCCAGACTCCCAGGAAGAGTGGGGTCCGGACTACCTCCACTCCTCCATCCAGGACAACTTCAACTATGACAGCTGCGTGGCCTCCACCAGCATGCACGTCCGCATGGATAGGTCACCCTTTCCGCGCTTCACTCAGCCCGGCTGCTGCACAGTTGCCCTGGGAGGCAGATTTACGGGGTCCCAGGGAGAGCACCCTCCATGCCAGACTCCCAGGAAGAGTGGGGTCCGGAGGGAAAGCACTTCGCTCCGCCTCCCCTTGGGGCTTCCGGCCAGAGCGCCCATCATGCACACGGAGGCCTCCTAGCTGGGTACCGAGAAAACGAAACTAGAGCTCTTCCTCGAACCCTGTCGTCTTCAGTGTAGAAAGGGACAGATGAGAACCTCAGCAGCCTTACTGGGGCATCTTTAAATGAAAAGATACCAGAGGTTATTTTTTTTGGTGAAAATAAGTTTATTGTGTAATCAATATTGTGTAATCATTGTGATTTATTGTATAATCGTTGTGATTACACAATAACCTGCACTGAGTTATCTGCTGGGATGTTTGTGCTTTAAGGCATGTGAACGCATTTTATTTTATTTGACACAGCCTCACATCCCCCGGCCTCACACACATGCAGCTCAGTCGTTAGGCATGAGGGCATTAGGACCATTTGCATATTACCCTTTTATTAGTATAGACCAGCCGTGGGCAAACTACGGCCCGCAGGCCGGATCCGGCCCGTTTTGAAATGAATAAAACTAAAAAAAAAAAGAGACCGTACCCTTTTATGTAATGATGTTTACTTTGAATTTATATTAGTTCACACAAACACTCCATCCATGCTTTTGTTCCAGCCCCCCGGTCCAGTTTAAGAACCCATTGTGGCCCTTGAGTCAAAAAGTTTGCCCACCGCTGGTATAAACGGTCAAAGACTCAGTGATTGGGAGATGTTACTTTATCATCATTGTTACTTAACCTTTCTGAAGCGTAGTTTCTTCCTAGAGATAATCAGCATATAGGATTTAGCACAACACTAAATCCTCTGTAAACATGGTTAAGACATCCTCTGGACCCCGCTGAGTTTTTCTCACTGGACACTTTTCAAGCATGATTTTTTGTGTGTTTTTATAAAATTGATTTTTAGAGAGAGAGGGAGGGAGAGGGAGAGAGAGAAACAGCGATTGGTTGTCTCCCACATGTACCCTAACCAGGGATCAAACCCACAACCCGGGAATGTGCCCCAACCAAGTGAGCCACACCAGCTCAAGTTTGATTAAAAAAAAAATGCTGTCTTCAGGTGGTAATTTGTAGATTGTAACACTTTTCTGCACTCAGATAATTACTCTGTTTGACACACGTAAGCAACATCATGAAGTGATAATGCTGGCCATATTGGAAACAAATTTGGTACAAACTGAATTTGTGTGGCAGTCTGTGGTACTAGTAATTTCTGTGACAATTTCTGTGAACAGTGAGCCTGGAGATTGTAATAATAAGAGGTAGTAAATGGGAGTACAGTAGTTCCTGGCTTGAGAGAGAAACAGCGATTGGTTGTCTCACACATGTACCCTAACCAGGGATCAAACCCACAACCCGGGAATGTGCCCCAACCAAGTGAGCCACACCAGCTCAAATTTGATTAAAAAAAAAATGCTGTGTCTTCAGGGGGTAATTTGTAGATTGTAATACTTTTCTGCACTCAGATAATTACTCTGACACACACAGGCAACATCATGAAGTGATAATGCTGGCCACATTGGAAACAAATTTGGTACAAACTGGATTTGTGTGGCAGTCTGTGATACTAGTAATTTCTGTGACAATTTCTGTGAACTGTGAGCCTGGAGATTGTAATAATAGGAGGTAGTAAATGGGAGTACAGTAGTTCCTGGCTGACCATAGAATTACCTGGGATCTTAAAATAGATCCACTGTTAGATTCTGTATGTCTAGGTAGGAGCCCTAGAATCTGCATTTTTTAAAAAGTGTGCTGAAAGATTGGGAGCTTGGTTATAATGTACTTTTTCTTTTTTGCAATGCAAGTGACTCACTTAAGTTTTGATTGCCAGGCATCCATTTCAAAGAGGATCTACTTCAAAGATGACAATCTTGAATAAACACATTACCTAGCCACACGACAAGGTAAAGAACCAAGCCACCTCCTCCTACTAAGACTCCTTTGTTTTAGAGATCTTGGTTGATTTCATAACTGATCATTTGGGCTGCTGTTTCTTTAAATTTTCTCCTGCTTTAACTTCCCATTCTAATGTTTTCAAATCCACCAATGAGGAGTGAGCCCGGGAAACTTTAAGCGCCATCTTCAACTTCAAATAGAAGCAGAACCCCAGGCCTTCTCTCTCTTTCTCTACCGGCCACCTCGCTGTGTAACCCGAAGTGTTCTGTGTGACTTCCAGGTCCTGTAAGTAAAAAACCTTTATGTTTTTCAGTTACCTGATGATTACTGCTGAAGGGCATCTTGTAATAATAATAAGAACCATGTTGTTATTGACAGGATGAGACCGGCATAAAGCACTGGCTCATGACATCTCAAACTAAATTCCCTCTAGGACACAACACCTTTCCTCATAGTTAAAAATGATTACTAAAGCCATACTGTAATAATTCTTGAAATCTGTACGGATGGACACATGAAAGAAACCAAACAAGAGCTTTCTGCTGGATTTCCTATTGATTTGGCGGCTAATGCTGTTGCTATTGTTCTAAGCTTCTTCTGTTTACCACATTGATTTGTAACTTCCCTCCACAGCTTACTCAAGTCACTTTTCTCCGCGGGGGCTCAGATTTCAGAGCCAGCTCTTCCTTCTGAGGGTTACTGTAGCCCTCAGTCCTGACCGGAACAGATCAGGACTCCAGGAGTTTTCTCTCTAACATCCCAACCCGGAGGAACCTTCGAATTCCCAAGGTCAGTACAGACTGTCTGGAAAGACCCACCACCCCTTGCCAGTTCAACAGAAAGGATGGTCTCAAAAAGAGATTTAAAAAAAACACAACTCTGCCCTGGCCAGTGTGCTCAGTGACTAGAGAATCACTCACCCCACCCCCAAACTAAAGGGCTAGGGTTTGACTCCTGGTCAAGGGCACATACCTGGGAGGATGGACACATGAAAGAAACCAAACAAGAAATCTGTAGGATGGACACATGAAAGAAACCAAACAAGAGCTTTCTGCTGGATTTCCTGTTGTTGATTTGGCGGCTAATGCTGTTGCTATTGTTCTAAGCTTCTTCTGTTGACCACATTGATTTGTAACTTCCCTCCACAGCTTGCTCAAATCATT